GTAACTGGTGTCCAATGTTTTTGTGTGGTTGGATGATTGTAGTTTCCACATGAATCTTGTTTTAACAGTAAAGAAATGAATCCTTTCCGGTTGAGTTTATGCAAATTTTCCTTGCTTAAATGACCAATTGAAAAACATTAAGAGGAAATTGACTGCTTATTTAAATATATCACGACTATGACATTTTTTTTTTTACTGTAATCAAAGAATTGTGAATTAAGCATCTGCTTTGGGGGGCAGGAGATGGGACCCTGACCTCTAGCAGGACAAATGAAAAGCAGCAGAACCCAAAAGACTTAATCATGCAAGCATGGATCTTTTTTTTTTTAGGTCAGCTGTGCAAAAAAGGTCATATAAAGGCACTTTTTAAATTCTCTTCTGTGTGTCCATTGGCAGGATCTTTCACTTGGTATAAAATTATCTGTGCATCACTGACCGTGAGCCTGCTGTACTCCAATTATTCAGATGCCTGCTGTGAGACATTTATGCTCTGCTTAGTTTTGACACACCACCTTGCTGCAAAAGTGACAACTAGAAACTGTAAACCATTATAGCTTCAAGTTACATGGTAACAGTAAATACTAAAGCATACTGTTACAACAGCACAAGTAGAGAGCAAGTCAGGGAACTAGCTAATTAATGTAGCATTATTTCACTGAAGTTGACACTGACACAGACCATATCAAACGTATTTGCTTGAGAAAAACTGTTATTTGTTCTTACAAAAGTTATGTTTAAGTATATGTTCGACATTTTGGGTAAATACACTGCTTTTCTTTCTTTCTTATTGCATTAAATGAGTTGCCTCTTTCCACTGTCATCTTTGTAAGCTAAATATGAAGCTACAACAGTGGCGGCCTAAAAGGTTAGAGAAGCAAGCTTGTGACCCAACAGCCAGTTAGCCTGCCTCACAATAAAGTATTAGAAAATGTGGGAACCAGCTAGACTAGCTTTGTCCATAAATAAAGTCTGCCTACAGTACCAGCACCTCTAATGTTCACTAGATAGCTACAAAGCATTTTATTTACTCTGGGAATATAAAGATAACCAATATATACAATACCAATTTTTGCACCATACATTGAATTATTTATACTTTCTCAGCTTTTTTCAATTGGAAGTGTTGATGGTGTTCTGGAAAACTACTAAATGTTTCACCTTCTTTGTGGCTTTGCCTCACTGCGTTTGTCAGTTGCATCCACTCTTTTGAAATAGCTTGCAATAGATTTGCTAATACATACTCATACCCAATGTTACATCAGCCAGAAGCTGCAGCTCTTCAACCTCCAGCTGCCGTAGCGGGGTCTGACCTACATGTGTCATTCAGGAGTGGCTGACAGCTGTTCAGACCTGTGCTTGTATTTCTGCTCTAACCTGCAGGCTTATACAGTTACTGAGGAGTCCGAGTACAACATTAAAGGAGCACGCCACAAATTTTAATACATGGTGGCCTCATCATGACAAGTACTGTTCAGCCTGGGAAGACAATTGTATGGCTTCTGTTGCTCTGGAGGGAGCTTTTCAAATTTTGAAAAATACACCCGATGATGTTATCAACACAGGCTTGAGATTGGCAATTTTCAACATAAATGGTGTTACAAACCAGGTTTATGGAGATTAAAAGCTGTGGATGATTCAGAGAAGGTCTTATGAAAGACGACATGAAGATACATTATGGGAAATGTAGGGTTTGTACTAAAAATTTAATGCAGCTCAGCTTCTGCTGTGTCAATGCTGACAATTTTTTAAACTTTTTACAATTTCCCATATTTTATAAATGTGCAAATAGCTGAAATGACCTTTTCTACTTTTTTCTAGAAGGATTAAAATGCAGTCTTACAGTTCATCATTTCAAATCAAATCAAATTTATTTATATAGCACTTTAAAAACACATCCAGCTGACCAAAGTACTTTACATGGCAGAATAAAATCACAATGAACATACACACCTTATTTACTAGAGATACACCACTTGCAATATTCTTGGCTGATTCCGATTTCCAAAAGTATGACCAGCCGATTCCGATTTTCTCTCTAAGAGCAGAGCCACCAAACCAACATGAAAGAACTAGCAGTGACATAGACCGACTGCTGCATTGCCTCACATCGCCTTTGCCTGGTCCAGTTGTGTTAAAGTAGTGACACTTGAACACACCACACAGACTACAGCCAACAGCCAAGTAACACATACAGTACATTCTGCACCTGCATGACAGAATTCCTCCTACCAGGAGGTGGCAGTATCTATATTCGCCATTCAGCAAGGGAAAGAAGAGCTAGACCGTGGAAGTACAAGTATAAATAAAGCACCTATCATTCAAAACAGCTGCTGCTTCTAAACAAGAATAGGTCTGGTAATGTGTCCTGCTGATAGGTTGCAATTGACACTTCTGTTCTTGCCCTTGTTGTTTTGGTTGTGCAAGAAGAAAGGAGGTTGTGAAAGCGAAAACCAAACTGCACTAAACGGGTGAAATCATGGATACTACAGTGACAGGCTGAAAGAGCTTTCCTGAATCAGATGATAAGATTACTTCAAGAACTCACACTTGTGATCTTGTTTTTTTTTCTTATTTAGCACTTCCTTTCAAAGAAAATAGTTTCGTGTGTGCATGCATCCTTTACTAAAGCACAAGTGTGCACCTCAAAGCTGCATTAACTAAGATTTAGCAGAAATTTGGGTAAACCAAGTAAAAAAATAAAGTCTACAACTGTTTTTTTCTCCCTGGTGTACTAAACGACCCCCGCCCCACTCTGCTATCTTCATGCCTTGTTGTTGTTGTCCTCTGTGGTCACTGTTTTTAAAATCCGCACTGCACCTCTTCCACGCCCCTGATGATCCGAGGCTATAAGATGTGTTTTTCAAACCAATAAGGCTCATTTCCATGGACGCTCCCTGTGCAGGTACAACCCAGGATAGAACTGGACCTGTTAGACCCAAGAGGCTGTGTTCTGTAGCACAGAAAGTGTGCAACAAACAATGAGGAAAAACCAGGGTTAACATCAGTCTGGCATGTCTGAGATGGAGAGCACTAAAAGCATCCAACAGACAAACATTTGACACAGATGTGGCTTTCTTCCTTCTGGATGTGTAAGCCGCTAGCTAACATGTATACAGTATGGCAGCATCATTAACAAGCTAATGTTAGCTTTTCAATTTTGTACCTTTGTATTGTATTATTATGGTTGTAATTTGGAGTCATTTCAACTGACTGCAATGTTAGTGTTTTGTTGTCCTATTAGCAGATACCAGCTCATTTTCCTGGATTAGAAACCAAAGTAATTTTGTTAATTTTGGTCCAGTTTAAATGAAATAACAATGCAGTCCATGTAGCATCTTAGTGAGTAGTAAAAATTTATGCCATCAACACAACTAGAAAAGCGGGGAGTATTTTCAGCTATCAAAACGCAACATGAAATCATTTCACATACAACTCATGGTTATGTGTGTCAGGTATGAAACATTGAACTTGATGCTATAGTGGCTGGAACATTAGTACTGTATAATTACTGGGGGGGAAACATTCCTCTGTATAATTTGTTTGTGTTACTGCAGATACATCGGCTAAAATGTTAGACATACGTATGCATATCACTAAAATGTAAACCTCTATTTGACATTGTGTCACCACAATGCCACCAGCTTTCGTGACCACATATAAAACAGTTTCAGAGACAGGGCAAAGATGAATGGAGGGAGAACAGGGGATACTGCTTGAGTTTTTGGCTTTCACCTCACCCTTAATGGTTGAAAACTAGAGGGAGAAGTTACTTAATGCAGCTTAACATGACCATAAAACATGCCCACTTGGGTGCAAGTACAACTATGAATACTTAAAAAGCCATTTAACAAAGATGTAGGTGGAGTTAGTGTAAAGGAAGACATTTCTAGATCAACAGAGAGCATAGAGAACAGACCGGGTTTGAAAGTAGCCTACGCATGGTCACTATGATGTCTGATTATTTTTAGCATTCAGAATACCACAGATAGACACCGAACTCACCACTTAAATATGCCTAGGCTACGCTCCTGTCTGAACCTGCTCCTTGTTTTCATTCAACAGCTGGAGATCTGCTTATGTGACTGGCTGTGTTGTTTCAAGTGCGAACCTAAATTGTCTTAATAAAAGCATGATCAACAAAGAAAGTAACAACTGAGCACATCTGATAAGCTTCAGTGAAAAGACCCACTGTGGAAAAACCTGCCCTAGCTCTTTACTGCCAAGTTAAAATTCAACTATTTGTACAGTATTTTCCTCTAAAACCTGACAACGCATTGACTGGTTGGAGTCAGTTCTCTAAGAGTCCCTCAGTCTTCACGCCGATTGTTACATAAACCCATGATCCATGTTTTACCAGTTCTTCTCTTCAATAATAATCATTCAAATCTGCACCTTCCCTACGCATTGAGAACCAACACAAAGCAGGCTAAAAGATGAAAACTGGAAACCGTAACATTTGCCATTGTTTTTTTCAGTAAACGCGGAAAAAAGCAGCAGCATGCAAACCACAGCCAAACCATGATCCATGCTGACTGACTTCCAGAGTTTTAGGGCGGATCCATGATCAATTGTTGACTGACTTCCAGAGTTTTAGGGCGGAATTTGGACTCAAAATTACAACTGCACACCAATATAATGTCTAATTCCAAAGATGCACGTTTGGCATTTATAGTGAATTAACATCGTGCCTGAATCAGACAACACCCAGCAGGAAGCGCTCCACGCACAGCTACTGTTGCACTTTATAAACATATGTAATGTAGCCCATTTATTAAACAGTGATTAAAAGAAACAACGCTGTAAACTCATTTAAATGTACACACAAACACGTCCTCTTTTATTTTCTTACATGTTCTAATTGGCTGTGAACACTGCAGCCGCTTCTTCCAGTCAAATAACCAGAATTAAACCGCCCGCTTCCAGCTGCTCTAAATTAACCATTAAATCACACGCCTGATAGAAAAAAGTCATTTTTAGATACGTGCATGTTCGGGTCTTACCTAATGTTTAAGCGTAGCGGACAACTGCAGCATGTGGGGGGAGGAGGCAGACCAGTGTGGAAACAGGAGTGGGAGACCCTTCCCGTTTAACAAGCAAGAAAACTGAGTGGAAATTTCCATCTGCCATGTGATGCTGGTGGTCTTGAAGCGTCGATCGTGTTACAGAGCTTTGCTGGGGGCTCCCTGTTCTCTCCCTCTTTACAGGTACTCATTTGAAAAGCTACATAAACCGACACGAACTTACATTGATGACAGTGGATTTTTTTCCCGGCTTAATTGTTCCAATTTATTTATCTCAATATATTATCCTAAGATATAATACTGGCCAAAGGGTGTTTGCACTAGTGTAGGCTGAAAGGTCATAAAAGGAGAGTTGTATCTTAAGGTGGATCCTTTGTTTACATTACGTTTGGCAAGTCGTTGAGTTAAGTGGGCGTGTTAACGCACGCAAAGTAAGCGCGTTAATGTGCGCCACGCAATAGGTAAATGTTAACACCTTAAAAAAACTGCGTGCTAACACAAGTGCCTGGGAAGTAGGGGTGTGGAGGGTGCTGTGGCACCCCCTGGATAATGGCAAGAGACCTGCAGGGCCGCCACAACCATACGTTTAAAACATAAAAATGTTAAGTAATATTTAACTTCATTTTTATTGGTTAGTTAGTGGTTAATAGTGGATCTTGGTTCCACATTTTCAGTCGATTTGGCCAAACTCTGTCTATTTGAAACAAGTATTGTCTGTTTTTCTTTTCTTGTTTTCTCAGTCTTATCTTGTTTATGTGTCTACTCGTTGTCTTACTGAAGAGCATTGTACATATTAAGAGTCAAATTCCTCTTGTCCAACACACCTTGCCAATAAAGCTGATTCTTATTTGCAATTCATTGCATGATTGTCCATAGTTAACTCGTGATTAACCGCAAATTATTTGCGCCTTTTTAAAATCTGTTCTGAACATTGGTGGAACATAGTACATTTACTCAAGCACTCTACTTAAGTCCAATTTTGCGGTATGTGTACTTGAGTATTTTCATTTTCTGTTACTTCATACTTTGACTTCACTACATTTTAGAGGCAAATGTACTTTTTACTCCGCTACATTTATTTTATAACTTTAGTTACTAATTACTTTTCATAACCAGATTAAGACAAAAAATGACGCTCATGGAGAAAAGAAGAGGTGAGTTCCCTCAGGTAGCAGAGACAGAGCAGGTCCTGGTGGAGGACGAGGACAGAGCTGGCTGGGTTGCTGGAAACGAGGTGAGTACACCATGCAGGTAAGAAGAGTAATCGCCCAGCCCTAATTTACAGTAGCAGCATATTTGCGTCAACATTCTTCCTGACAGATTTTTGCCATGCACTACCATAAGATGGGTATTAATTAAGGAGCAGCACATTCACAGGTAATAACATTAACAGTCATGTTTCTTTTAAATGTCATGTGTTAGGTATTTTTAGTCGAATAGAAATTGGATAGATACTTTATATATTAGAAATGTTTAGTGGAGATAGGATGTCTAGTTAGACTGTTAAATGCTTAGGCATGCTTATGAGTTTCTACAGGGTACATCTGGTCAAGGATAACTAGAGAGAAAAGTTGATGACTGTCAGAAGACAGGGTGTTTAATATTATTATTATGACGTGTATAACTGTAGCCTTAGCCATAATATGTTCTTATGTTTAAACGACATGTTACTAGAGGTCGTGTGAGAATGTTTTTAGCTTCACACCACTTAATCCTGCGAGCAGTTTGGAGGTGCAAGATACCTGAGTGTGTAATGTTAATTTTACCTGTGATCCTTTGAATAAATCAGCACTGTTTTGAAGTTACTTGGACTGTCTCGTCTCTCAGAGTTGGCAATGGTAAGAAGAACCAAAGACCAACACATGTATAGAACCTGGAACTGATATGACCAAAGTATTGTGTCCCCTTCTTGAATTCACAGGATTCTTATACAATGATTTTAATCTAAGACAACAAGGCCCAGGTTGTAAAATACCAGAACTTTTAACAGACAGTGTAAAGACATTGATCAGACACAAAAAACGTTTCCCTGTACATTTGTTTTACTACCATTTGTAGGAATTTATAAGCTTTTGAAAAATGTGCCTGTGACTGTTTGAAGCAACCAAGGATTAACAGTTCCTTCTTAATAGTTAACTTAGTCAATAATTTTTTTTGTACTAAGTCACATTAATTAATTAATTTAATCATTACTTTTAGTACAGATCAGATTTGGTTGCCATATGTGAAACAACTTTCTGATATCAAATCACATATTACAGTAGTTTTGATGGATAAAACATCATTTATATGCTTTTACAATGTTGCAGTTTATAGTTACAGTATGCAGCAAGATAAGCACAATGTACTGAAAAAAATTATAATTTTAGTCAAAAATTTATATAATTATGTAAAATTCAACTGTTCATAATTAACCACTATACATACAAAAATGAAAGATATTTGGATTAACATTAGTATTAATATAGTTTTTCTGTTTGCCTTGAAATGACATGAAGTCTAGAAAGGAGTCACCCAAAAAGTCTTCACATGCATGAATGTGAGCTTTGACTTCTTTGAAGGCTTTATGGATTTCAACTGATCCTTCTCTTCATGTCTGATTGTAAATGAGAAACCTTTTTCTATTCTAATGTTTCACCAGACACGTGAAGACTAATTTTGTTTTTGCTTCCTAAATTGGATTAAAGTGACCAACATTGAATCACATGCTCTTTAACCAGAGATCGGCATGTTTTAAAAAGAAGTAATAAGACCAAAATTTGTGTAGAACCTTTTTTTAAAAAATGTGTGAAAAATGCTCCAACAGTGGTGTTTCTACAAGTAACTGAGAGTTAAACTTGAGTGAAACCTGTTGCATGCAACTGAACCAGTGGCAGCTGTTGGCTCTGTTCAAACACAGTTGAACGTGATAACATGAGTTTGAGCATAATACTGACAAATAGCTCTTACATAAACTTCAGATGGGAACATACCAGTTACTGGGGGTTGACTCCCATTGAGCAAACCAGTCCAAATGCTCTTGTTATGTAACTGGCACAGAGGCAGAGGCAGACACAAATTTCTGCTGTGGTGTTAGAATAACCACTGGGACAAAATAAGTTTACTACACAGTGAGAAATAACTTTACTAAACAATGAAGAATAAAAACTGAAATTTACACATGGAACTGATCCTTTAACTCTGGTAATGCCTTGCTCACATCTGAGAAAAACACATGGTGTAATCACCTGCTGTTTTCTAGATAATAACCGCATCTGTGTGGTGCTACATTTCAAGGTCTCAGACAAACGACACAGGAGGGAATGCCCAGAACCAGTGTATGTGTTTTTGTTAAATCCTGCTTGATTTAGCATAAACAAATTCTTCATCTGTTAGAGGAAGAGAGCACAGACCCTGACAAAGACCCATCACCTCTTAAAAATGGATGTTTATCCAGATGGACATTATTTTGACCATGAGAGCAAAGACAGTCTAAGAATAGAGCCTCTAACACAAATAAATACACTAGGAAAGCAGGAACTTACCGCAAAACAAAATTACAGTAAGTTGAAGTTTTTTTTTTAATAATTAAAACATATCTTAGCATTGGCAGAATTCAGTCACACTGAGGTTTTTCTGTCACAGGTCCCGGTCATGGAGGTCCAGAAGAGACTGTTGTGTATAAATTATTTTCTTAATTAATTAGACTTTCCAGTAAGAACAGTGACAGGGTGTATTTCTTTTCTAAATGTAGGACTGCAAGAAACAGAAAATGGCTATTTTATTGTTTTTTAAATAAAAGAAATGATATCATGACTGAAATTAATTTACAAAAGATAAATAGCATGACAAAGAAAAAGGAATGAAAATAATTAGAAACTAACTTGACAAACCTAAACGGATTCAGAGAAAAGCTGAGTTAAAGCTGCAAGCAAAGTAATGAATGCTTAGAAATTAGTTGGTAGTTCCCCAGGTCAGAACTAAACAGTGTAAAACAAGCCTTCAGTCATTACGTAGCACAAAGATGGAACCAGTTTCTGGTGGAAATAAAAAATGCAGACATTGTAACAGGTTTTAAATATAAACTGAAAACACTGCTGTTTACACATGCCTTTGAATGATTGTTTTACTGTTTTTACAGCTTAATGTTAAATTTCTCTTTCTTCTGTCTATTTTGTATGTAAAGTTGTATCACTCTTTTTATTCCTTAATTTTGTGAAACCTTATTAAGAAAAATGTTTTCTCTAATGTAATAAAGAAAGTCCTGAACCCACATTTATATAGTATCAAATGTGTCAAAGGCCAGGAACTGAGTTATAAGACTTTCTCTGTAATTTCCTATTTGTTGTGTTTTAAGTTAACTTAATCTACCAAACAAATCCACAAGATGTTGTTTAGGCTGTGAACCACACATGGCCTCTCATATTCACCATCAAATATGTCACTATACTTCTTATGCACAGGCAATAATTTACCCCTGTTACATACACATCATACTTTAAAAGATCAAAAACTCCTTTCACTATAATGCAGTTCAATATACAGAACTAGAACCAGCTACTTGTAGTTGGCATGAGAAGTGAGCACCCTGACTGAACAGAGAACGCAGCTCCACCTATCAAACAAATTTAAGGAAGAAACTAATGCAGGAACAAGCTTATAACTTCATAGAGCAATGGAGAACTATGATTCACTTTCTTCAAAAATAAATAAATCTCATAAATACAAAATTATTTTTTACAAATGAAGCAGCCTAACTGTACTGAGAATTGATGAGTCCGGAGCATAGCATGGAAGGTTTCACTTATCAACAGCATCTGCTCATCTGCTTAAATGTCTTTCCAGGTGGGTCAACAAGTCAGCTGAGAAATGACTGCACATTGTAAACACTGCTCTCTCTGTTTTTCTCTCTATATACTGTACATATTTATAGCTTTGTAGAAATCTTGAGTTTACGGGATGTTAGAAGCATATGGTATATTATGTCCTAGAGAAATTTTTTCATATTTTTGTATGTTGTTACTGTAGTTTTCGAACAGAGTGCCTCTCAGTGTCTAGTAACAGTGAGCAGTGTTTGTGAAACTCTGAGCCCTTCTATGTGCCCCTCATGACAGGGCATCAACAACACAGAACTGTAAGATCTCAACATAATTTCCTAATTCTTCCGCTTCTTTGCTTCACCTATTAATTTCTGAGGCTTGTTACATAAAGTGTTATGAAATGTGTTTTTTTCAGTGTCTATTTTTCTGGCCCGTTTGCTAATGGGTCTTGGGGGCAGGTTTTGTGGTGGTTGAGGCTGCTGTTGACATTCACTTGCTCATGAAAGGAACCCCCTGCTCCTCACCTGCTGCTGGGGTTGGCAGAAACAAACTCAGACAGGTCAACAGTCATTTGGGTTGGAGGGACCACT